TAAATGACACAATAGATCGCTCCAACGGTAAAGTTACTTCAAGAGTAAGGAAGTTATAATCAAAAGGTGTTTGGGGGAGATTTAGATATTCCATGATAGGATGTCATGGATTATGTTGCGATTGCCTTCATAAACTTATGGTTTCTACATTAGATTGTTTGTTTTGTTCCCGGTGGTTATAGCGAACATCTCATCGACGCATCATCACTAATGTTTGATTGCTCGAACGTATCATTAGTTGTTATATGCTCTTGTACAACTTAGCATAAATACCCAAACTAACAATTATGAAAAGACCGGTCTATCTTTAGATGTGAAATTTACTTTAGTGGCTGATTTGATTTTCCGGACTAGCCCTTCAAAAGTACCCCGAAGGCCCTAACCAATTATGGTTGTCATGTGATGATTTTGATGATTACACCATGCATGGTTTGGTTCTATTGCAGTTACATATGTGTTACCAAACTGGTCTTTTATCACGACTACGATAGTCTGATTTCAAAGTGCGATATATAGTTGGGAATTTTATTACTATACGTCATTAAAAATGAAATTTGAATTTAGATAAAAACACATGGTTGACAAGAGTCTTCTATTAAAATTAAAAGGGAAAATGACTTAAAAGCCCAACGAAGTTTTCAAACCATTCAAAAAACCCCAATCATGTTTTGTCTGTTCAAAAAAACCCAACGAACTTAACATTTTGTCTAAAAAGTCCAACAAAGTTTCAAATTGTTCAGAAAATTCCAATTTTGTTTTGTTTAAGTTCGTTGGGTTTTCTTTGAACAGTCAGAATATGATTAGGGTTTTTTAAACGTTTTGGAAGCTTCGTTGGTCTAACAAGTTATTTTTCCGATACGGTAATAAGCCACGTCATTTGTTTCTCGTATTTGACTTTCGAGAAAGTGTAACTTAGTTGGGCTTTTTAGATAAAATGTTAAGTTTGTTGGGTTTTTTTGAACAGACAAAACATGATTGGGGTTTTTTAAACGGTTTGAAAACTTCGTTGGGCTTTTAAATCTTTTTCCCAAATTAAAAGCATACAAGATAAATTGTGTATAATGATTGAAACCATCCAACATGTATTTTCATCGACAAACTATAAAAGCTATAAAATTAAGTTGAAAACTTATAAACTTGTTACATGAATTTGTAAAATGGTGAGGACACTCATAAATATTTCGCATACACTCTTAAAAGATCTCGACTTGTCCCTGCAAATTCAGGCCAACAATCGTTCATTTGGCACTCCATATCGAAATATTTTGAAATTTCAAGAGTTCTTTGTCTTTTATTCCTATCTTCACCACAAGGAAAAAGGCCATTACCGGCGATAAAAGTCGCCGGTAAAAGTCCCAAAAATCGCCGGTACTGATAATAGCGGCGACGCGTCGCCGGTAATGAGTCGCCGCTACTGCCTCGTCGCTATTGATCAGTTTGTCGCCGCTAAAGATAATAGTCGCCGCTATTAGTATGTCGCCGCTACTGACTAGTGTCGCCGCTAATAATGTTGTCGCCGGGAATGACATTTGTCGCCGGTAAAAGTGTCGCCGGCAAAAGTGTCGCCGGTAATGATAACTGTCGCCGGTAAAAGTGTCGCCGGTAATTTGTTTTCAATTTTTTTTTTTTAAATAATGATTTTCGTTGCCGGTGATAATATCGCAGGTAAAAGTGTTGCCGGTGATAATATCGCAGGTAAAAGTGTCGCCGGTAATAACAATATTCGATTAAATATCAAAACCAATAGTGTCGACGCTAATTACAAAACAAACATCCTATTAAATATCAAACATAATAGTGTCAAACAAACATCCTATTACAAACAAACATCCAAAATACAATTAAATATCAAAAGTCATACTATCCGAGTAGCAAAACAACAAAATTTTTACAATCTACTAACTAGCAAAACGAGACAACATATGCAAATAAAACTCATTCTTACATACCCTCATCGCCGTTCCCATCGTTTCCTTGATTGTTTTGGAATTGAAAAAACGAATAAAGCTCATCCCTACATGCCGGGTCGGCGAGCATTGCACGAAGATTTTCCAACTACATAATTAATAACAATATATATAAAATTATAAGTTAGATCGTCAAACATAAACAAAAACTATCAAAATACATTGTTATTTTTAAAGTAAGATAGAAAACCAAAGTACATTGCTATATTTTGCACTTGGGACAAAAACCAAATTACCAAACTTTTTAGCAAATAACCACCACAAAACCAAAACTACCAAATCAACATGCATTTTACGATGCTAAAGTAGATTGCTATTTTACCTGTGATGGTTGTGATGGTGGTTGTGATGGTTGCGAAGGCTGTGGAATCGTCGGGAGACCAGAAGGTTTGCAGCCAATGCCTCTAATGTGGCCACGTCGCTCTCCTAATACTTTCTCGAACGTAGCTCTTTCTTGAGTTGGCGTAAACTCACTTTCACCTTGAGTTTGTTCTAGCAGCTCTTCAACTAACTGATTTTGTAACTCTCAAAAGTGAGTAACAATTAAGTATAAATAAACATTTAAATATATGATAAAATTATAATTAAATACTTACATATTGTTGTTCCGATTCAGCAGTAACAAATACACCATTCTTATCGGTATGAGCTTTGCGAAATGTTTCCACTCTCTTAAGGTTCTGTTTAAGTTTAAAAATTAGATTATATTTTAAATAAATAATTACATGTATCTTACGGTACCTTCTTATAGCAAGTACTGCTATACGAGCTCGAACCCCCACGATTCACAATTGTTTGCTTTTCACGGATTTTTTTGTTCCTTTCTGAAGCAATTTTGTGTTCGTCAGTTTGAAAATACTCAGCTGTCTTCTCCCAGTTATCAACAAGCATACCATCCGGAGGATTTGCCAATGCTCTCGGGATATCTTCATACCCTCCGACCATGTTGAAATATTCTTTTGCGTCGGCTTTACGCTCTCGAAAACCTCTTAACAAGGCTGCTTGAAAACTCTCTGTCAATAAAGTAGCTTGTTAAGAGAGTTTTCAAGCAGCCTTGTTAAGAGGTTTTCGAGAGCGTAAAGCCGACGCAAAAGAATATTTCAACATGGTCGGAGGGTATGAAGATATCCCGAGAGCATTGGCAAATCCTCCGGATGGTATGCTTGTTGATAACTGGGAGAAGACAGTTGAGTATTTTCAAACTGACGAACACAAAATTGCTTCAGAAAGGAACAAAAAAATCCGTGAAAAGCAAACAATTGTGAATCGTGGGGGTTCGAGCTCGTATAGCAGTACTTGCTATAAGAAGGTACCGTACGATACATGTAATTATTTATTTAAAATATAATCTAATTTTTAAACTTAAACAGAACCTTAAAAGAGTGGAAACATTTCGCAAAGCTCATACTGATAAGAATGGTGTATTTGTTACTGCTGAATCGGAACAACAATATGTAAGTATTTAATTATAATTTTATCATATATTTAAATGTTTATTTATACTTAATTGTTACTCACTTTTGGGAGTTATAGAATCGGTTAGTTGAAGAGCTGCTAGAACAAACTCAAGGTGAAAGTGAGTTTACGCCAACTCAAGAAAGAGCTACGTTCGAGAAAGTATTAGGAGAGCGACGTGGCCACAATAGAGGCATTGACCGCAAACATTCTGGTCTCCCGACGATTCCACAGCCTTCGCAACCATCACAACCACCATCACAGGTAAAATAGCAATCTACTTTAGCATCGTAAAATGCATGTTGATTTGGTAGTTTTGGTTTTGTGGTGGTTATTTGCTAAAAAGTTTGGTAATTTGGTTTTTGTCCCAAGTGCAAAATATAGCAATGTACTTTGGTTTTCTATCTTACTTTAAAAATAACAATGTATTTTGATAGTTTTTGTTTATGTTTGACGATCTAACTTATAATTTTATATATATTGTTATTAATTATGTAGTTGGAAAATCTTCGTGCAATGCTCGCCGACCCGGCATGTAGGGATGAGCTTTATTCGTTTTTTCAATCCCAAAACAATCAAGGAAACGATGGGAACGGCGATGAGGGTATGTAAGAATGGGTTTTATTTGCATATGTTGTCTCGTTTTGCTAGTTAGTAGATTGTAAAAATTTTGTTGTTTTGCTACTCGGATAGTATGACTTTTGATATATAATTGTATTTTGGATGTTTGTTTGTAATAGGATGTTTGTTTGACACTATTATGTTTGATATTTAATAGGATGTTTGTTTTGTAATTAGCGTCGACACTATTGGTTTTGATATTTAATCGAATATTGTTATTACCGGCGACACTTTTACCTGCGATATTATCACCGGCAACACTTTTACCTGCGATATTATCACCGGCAACGAAAATCATTATTTAAAAAAAAAAATTGAAAACAAATTACCGGCGACACTTTTACCGGCGACAGTTATCATTACCGGCGACACTTTTGCCGGCGACACTTTTACCGGCGACAAATGTCATTCCCGGCGACAACATTATTAGCGGCGACACTAGTCAGTAGCGGCGACATACTAATAGCGGCGACTATTATCTTTAGCGGCGACAAACTGATCAATAGCGACGAGGCAGTAACGGCGACTCATTACCGGCGACGCGTCGCCGCTATTATCAGTACCGGCGATTTTTAATGGCCTTTTTGCTTGTTGTGGCTTGCATAAATCATCGTAAATTAGGGATTTATAATTGTACGTGTTATTTTAATAAGTGAATCTTGGTTGAAATATAATTCACTTTTTTTGTCAGAACCTACCAAAAATAATACCAAGTGCGTATAAGTAATTGTAAGTTGTAACAATGCAAGTTACTATGAAATAACATTAGCTCACTTAAGCATTCTGATTAATTTATTTAATTTAGATAAACATGAACATAAACTCTTTTTCTATTCGTTCATTCCCTTAACAACCTACCCCACAACAAGGAAAACCCAAACTAACACTACCCATCCCCTCATCCACACAGTTTACAAAAACACGTTTCAGGTTTTTAAAGTTCTCATCTTTTCCAGCATGGGCCTATCGCAATTCCATGCAAAGGAAGAACAACATGATGGTGGCGCGTACGATCAAACGCCACTCAAGATCAACAAAGACTCCAATTTCATCACCCGTCTTCCTCCGTCCTCCTCCACCACATCATCCACCACCACCTCCGACGGCTTAACAAACAAACCCCAACAACAACAACAACAACCACCACCACGACGACCCGTCATCATATACACGCATTCTCCCAAAGTGATCCATACGCACCCTCGAGATTTCATGGCATTGGTTCAAAAACTCACCGGATACACCCCACCACCGGAGGACACACAACAGACACAAGATCGGAGACACCACCGAGGCCAAGGGAACACGGAGGATAATGAGTCAACCTCGGTTGTGACGGAGGAACATGGCAGTAGCGTGAATGATATACCTCAGGTGAATTCTTGTTTTGTTGATGGTGGGGTTGGGGTCGGGGTTGCAGCACCACCTTACAGGGCGGCGGGATTTGATCCTTACTTTAATCCTACGCCAGTTTTTTCGGCCAACCCAACGGATTTCTTCTGTGGATCGACTCATCAGCTTCCATTTTACAATCCCGACTCGTTATTTTTGAATCGGAATTCCTTATCGTCGTCATCTTCATCATTGCGTGTTCTCAAAGAATATCCAGATATTTGATCTATTTAATTTATTCAGATCTTAAGTTTTCATTTTTGCAGATTCTAAATAATAACTCCACAATTTGTTTGTTTATTTCAAGTATTCTTTATGGAAATAAAAGGTTCAGTTTTTGCTTGTTTTCATTCACATTTTGTTTAAGAATATGCATGTTCGTCATTTGTATATCTTAAATGGATCTACGGTGATATGAACTCGAATTAGGACTTGATTTTAGAGTCGGGATTTGAAAGAACCGAACTTTTGAACCAATCCTAATTCGATTTCTGGAACACGAACTACAAAAAATTAAAACATGGGAATAATTAGATACTCCAAATTAATCCTGCTAATACTTCACCTTAATAGCAACATGAAAGAGCAACCGAAGACACCCAAGGACAAGACTGAAGAAACCCAAAAGCAGCAATCAAGGGATGCAAACATTAAAACGGCAAACCCTACACCAAAGCCAACGATAAGAATTCGGGAGTTTGAAGACTCCATCAATTGAAGAAAAGATTCGAGAGAGAGATATAGGTACATGTTAGTCAGAAAATGTGATTCGTGTCTTCTAGAACAACACCGGATCTACTGAGCAAGACTCTCCAATTAATATATAGGTGATATTAACTTTACATGCTAGGACATCACTTGAACTATGATACCCAGGTACATATTTTTTTTTTTATATGATAAGTTGTGGGTATGTGAGAGATAAGTGTTGATCTGTGGGGTGATTACCAAGTATTTGATTAATGGGAGGAAATGTTGTAACATAATATAGCCAGCGTGGAGAAAATATGGAGTATGGTGACTACGTGTGTAACATTATACTTTTTTGTGTTTATTTTTGTCTTGTCACTTGATAGAAGGGAAGGGAAAGTGAATTGTTTAAAATATATGTGGTTTTATTTATTTACTCTTCAAAAGAGCCTTTATAGAGAGAGGTACATTCCAACATATATATATATATATATATATATATATATATATATATATATATATATATATATATATATATATATATATATATATATATAAAGACATATGGGATCGAAGTCTAGCCAATATGTGACACACTAATTAACGAATTGAAGTTTCCATCTTTAGTCATGTTAATAGTGCGATGTGTGTGTGTTTTAGGAGATAAGGCTAACAACTTGAGAGTACTCCATTGTAGTCAATATCATCTATACATTCAGTCAAAAATCCTAATGACTTAAGTTGCAATGGCAAGTGACCTGCTGGACTTGGAATGACGAATTTCATATTTGAGGAAAATTGAGATTAGCATCTTCATTTATAGACCTAGTTTTGATTAGGTTGAAATCAAGCTTAAATGTGAGTTTGGCTCATGAACTGTGTTATATATTGGACTTAAATAAATGTAGTGTTAACTGGGATTGAAAATGTGAGGTTTTGATGGTAAATCTATAAGGGTTGTTGAAGTTGGAAAAGAAGGGCAAAACTTGAAAGTTTTGTTAAAGATGAAAATGAATAGCATAAACGACGTGCACGTAGCTAGGCATAGCCATGGGTAGAAACTTAGGGTGAAATGTAGTGAGCCACATAACATGTACATGGCAAGGGTTGATATAGCCGTTGCCTTGCATACATTTGTGAGGATTAAGCTCCACGTAGCCATGGAGTCTATATATTGTCCACGTGAAATTGGACTTGTAGTCTTATTAGGTTACTAATGTATTAGTGCCTTATGGGCCTGAATTAAACCTATGTTTGGGTAGGTTAGAATTAAGCTGAATCAACAGACATGTTTTGGTATGAATGCAAATAACCCCAGTGAGAAAAAAAGGTGTTGTCAGTGTAATGTAGTATATGCTACGTTGATGACTATAAATTGTTATTACATGAAGGTTAGTGATAATGTTGGTGAACACATATGGACCCCAGCGATGATCGTTTATTGACATCAAACTATAAAATTTTGTGATCCGTGTACTAACACCGATAATGTTGGAGATCATTTATCGATACCAAAAATGATAATCTTGGTGATTGGATGACACCAACACTGATGATGTTGGGATCAAATAGATGATAGGATCTAGGATTAAACTTCAAGGGTGTGATCGTCATATGTCATTATATATTGTCATACCATGGCGTTGTATTGCATAGAATATATGCATTCTATACATATTCATCTTGTATAACAGTTTTATCATCTATTCCCCTAAAATGAAGTAGTGTTATTAATTTTGGCGATTTGATTTATGTGTTACTGAGACCTGAGTAAGCTCTCATGGTTGGTCATGATTATTTGTACATAAATTAAGGTGCATGTACTAGCCTTAAGGCCAAAGAGAAAGTATCAATCTATAAATTTTATTGGTGAAGCTAGGAAGACCTATATACAAGACTAGGGATAAGACCCGTATATTATACAGATTGATTAAAAAATAAAATATTAAAATTTAAATAATATGTATTTTTTGAAATAAAGAATGAACAAACATATTAATTGCAATTTACTATCATATTTATTATATTTAATACTTTACATATATATAAGTAAAGTATCATCTGACATTTTAATTTTTAAATTTGAAAAAACCTATAAATTGACATGTGGATATTATTTATTTAAAAAATATAACAAAATGACAAGTATCAAAACTCATTAGAGATTGACATGTGGCAAATATTAATCTTCATTTATTATAGTAGATGCGTTAATAACATCCCCTATGTCATTTGTAAATTTTGTAATTAATGTAATTACCTGTTTCATTGGTACACTACTAGAAAAAAAGCTTTCAATGACAAACGAATTACAACGTACAAACATATCCTTGTTAAAATTCTGTTATGCTTTGTGATTTACGACAGACATACTATGTAACCATTTGCAAAAACTTACGATGTAGAAAATGTATATCATGTCTAAAACAGAAAACCCTCTCGTCGTTCTCTTCTCTCCCATTTGTTTTTGCCTCCACCGAAACTTGATGTATAAACATTCCACCATGCTCTCAAAAAAAATAACGAAATAAAATCCATGAAAATGGAAGCTTTTTGTAACATCCAAAAATCAGGTATAGCTATTTAATCCCTCTTATTTTCCAAGTTGTCAAAACTAGCCCATGGAAGGAAATTGTAGCAAATAAGTACGTTGGGCGTACTGAAGAGTACGATGCGCATACTCATGAGCGTGATCTTGACGCGGATGCTACCCAGTACGTTGGGCCTACCATAGTGTAAGTTGGGCGTACTGGACTCAGACATGTAACCCTAAATGAGACTTGAACACTATAAAAGGAATGATATGGCCTCCATCCTAGCCACCATTTCTAGTGAGTGAAACCCTAAAAGAGCTAAACCTTATTTCTAAACTTGTGTGTGTTTTTAAGCTTGAAAGTGTCTTTGTGTGCTTGTGAAGAAGAAGAGAGGGCCTTGAAGAGGAAAGATTGGAGACCAAGCTTTTAGATCTAACCTAAGCTGAGTGGGGAGCTTCTGTCAAAGGTAAAATGCTTCAAACTTTACCACTCTTTTGTTATAAACATCATATAGGAGCATATTCTGGGTTTAAGTCCCAAAGGTGGAGACTTTTTTAGCAAAGAAACTCCATGGCCCTTAATCTACCCCATTTCAGTGTATTTTGTGTTGTAGATCCATAAAAATCCAATCTTGGACGTTAAGATTAAGTCGTGCATGAGATTAGGGCTTAATGGGAAAAAGGATATATGTTTGAAGTGATGGTGACCTTTACAACCATGCAAATGCTTAAAGGTTTCGACTTTATGGCTTAAGAGACAGTAGAGTGCCTGGATCTGAGACATGAGCTTATGTCTTAATCTATTCAGACCAAAAATCTTGAAAGTATGAAACTGGGAATTACACTCGGCGTAATTGTTGGGTTATGAGCATTCTAACACTCCTAAGTGTACATGCAACCCTAAATACCTTGGATCTATGTTTTCTCTATTATACATGCAAATATGAATATCCAAGGTATTATCCTAAACTAGCATACACAACTATCAATATAACAAGATAGAATACATACCTCTTTGATGGAGCTTGTCTTCATGAAGCTTGAGTGCCTAGTGCCCCAAGTGTGACACCTCAAATGGTTCACAATCATCAAAACACTTAGAATAACTTAGAGAGAATTCTACACTTCATGAAATCGGCTAGCCCTTTCTTACTCTCACTAGTGGCCGATTTTTCCTCAAGAATAAGATGCTTATATAGTTATACAATTACGGTAAACCCTAATTGTCATGACTTTCCATTTCCTTGGATCCATGGGTTCAAATACACCATGGAGCATCATATGGGTTTTGGCCCAACTAGATAATCCATGGAGCATTAGTCCACTATATAAGTATGGATGATTTACACAATCAACCCATATATTTAATTAGTCTTCTTTTGATCACTCAATTAATGCTAGATTAATTCTTGATCAATACTATTTAAATAATCTCATTATTCTTATTATTAATATACTAGAACTTATAATATATTAATAACCATAAGTGTCTTCTTTCTCTCATTTAGTCTATCCAAGTGCATGATGGTATGCAACCCAAATGGACCATGCCGGGTCGGGTCAAGTCTTACCAATTATAGTTATGGACTTAGACATTAATCCAACAGTCTCCCACTTGGATAAGTCTAAAACTATTATTGCGTATGACTTCAGGAACCAACTGGCAATCGTAGCTCTCAAAAGCTTCTGTCGAACTCTGACCTTGTAGATGAACTCTGATCTTGTCAATGACTTGTCCATTAGTAAGGGATCATATATATTCCTCCATTCTAGATATCATATGGACTGAGACATGGATTATAATCATTCTCTCTGTCCATTTGTTGTTTCCCGATTTCCGATTTATGACGACTGACTAATTGAACAAATCAAATCAGTCCTGGCCCGGCCGAGCACTTCCATTTGTCATCATCAAATCATCGAGGGGCCCACAGATATCGCTTTTATCCCGAAGGTAAAAGGAATGGATAAACTTCGACTCATATGGCTTGTTCTACTACTT